TCTACATTTTTCTCCAGCTCTGTCTGGGACCCTCTGTTGTGATCCTGGTCAGAGCAGTTAGTGGTGGTAGCTGGGCACCATCTAGTTGTACTGGATTCAGTCTAAACCTTTTCCCTCCTGATTCAATAGGTCTGGATGTGGCCTAGGCACATATAATTTGTTAAAGCTCTACAGGTGATTCTGGAAGGCAACCAAGGTTAAAACTCTTTGAGCCTTAATAAAAAATCAAAAGAAACCAGTTGCCATTGAGTCAGTTTTGACTCATGGTGACCCACATGGGTCAGAGTAGAACTGTTCTCCATAGGGTTTTCAATGACTGGTTTTTTGGAAGTAGATCACCAGGTCTTTCTTTCAAGGAGTCTCAGGGTGCACTGGAACCTTCAATCTTTCAGTTAGCAAAAGAGCAAGTTAACTTTTTGCACCCTCCAGGGACTCCATCAGCCTTAATAAAGAGGTTTTGTAAGAGAATATCTTTTACTCTTGATGTTAAAGATTACATCAGATTTTATAAAAGAATTTGGAGAATTATAAGGAGTTTGAAAATTTTAACACATTATTTAATGCTGTTTTCTCTTCATGGAGTATTCCTTCCCTTCCTTGTATGCTGGAAAAATCTACCATTCCTTCAACTGAGTACCAATTTTATATCTCTGAAGCCTTCCCTGACCCAACTACACGGAAATGTTACCTAATCTGTGTTTCTGCAGCACTTTCTGCATTACCCCTATCACAGTGCCTCAGGTAATTAACTGTTCCCTCCCAAATACCAATCGTGTAAGCTCCTACAGAATCAGGAGTGTCTCATTCTTCTCAGTATCCACTGTGCCTAGCAATGTTAACTGAGGTGAATAAAAATGGTTATCACCTCATCTTTGAAAACAGACAGAAACTGGTCTTACAGAACCCCGTTATCTTCTATTGTTTTTTTTTTAAAGCTGAGTCTTCAATGTACTTTTACTTGTGGAACCCCAACATGAAAAACAGATAAAGAGAGGGCTGAGATCACATTAATGGTTATAATTTATTAGTGCCTATATGTGCTTGGTAAGGTAGAGGGTCAGTGGAAGAGAGGAAGACCCTCGAAGAGACAGACTGACACAGTGGCTGCAACAATGGGCTCAAACATAGCAATGACTGAGGCTGGTGTAGGACCAAGCAGTGTTTCGTTCTGTTGTACACAGGGTTGCTATGAGTTGGAACTGACTCACCTGGCACCTAACAACAACAACAACAACATATGTGGTAGACACTTGGCTACCCATTTTAGAGACATTATTTATCTCAACCATCTGATAAAATACACTCTATTATGTCCACTGTACAGCTGAAGGAGTTCTGGTACAGCGTTCAGCTGCTAACCAAAAGGTTGGCAGTTCGAATTCACCAGCCTCTCCTTGGAAACCCTATGGAGCAGTTCTACTCTGTCCTATAGGGTTGCTATGTGTGGGAATCCACTGTACAGCAACCGGGTAGGGGAAAGGGAGGGTTAAGGGGTACAGCTAGAAAACTGCAGTTTATGCTATTTGCTGAAGTAAGGTCAAACGGCCAGGAGGTGGAGCCAGGACTGGAATACAAGTCTCACTTCACAGCCAGAAATCTTAAGCCCTACATGCATGGTACTACCTTCTTCTTCTCAACATATTCTGATGATTCATATCCTTGGTGCAGCTCAGGGACAAGTAGCCTCTAGTTCATCGGCCCTCCAGTTTGATAGCAAATATAGTGAAGTTATAACTGCACTGCTGATCAGACGGGGCAGTGGAAGCATCATTAGCACTATGATCACCAGTAGTTGTTGTTTAGGAGTGGACCCCCAACTCATGGAGAACCCAAACACTTGTGATCCATTGGGTTTTCATTGGCTGATTTTCGAAAGTAGATCGCCAGCCTTTCCTTCTAGTTGTCTTAGTCTGGAAGCTCCACTGAAAGCTGTTCAGCATCCCAGCAACAATCAGTCAAGCCTCCACGGACACATAAGGTGCACTGGCTGAGAATGGAACCTGGGTCTCCTGCATGGAAAGCGAAAACCCTAACACTGAACAATGAATGCTCTCTTGCCACCAAGAAGTTTTTGAATTACCCGCGAGTAGTCCGCAGCCAAGCCTGGCCCATGGCAGGAGGTCCTGGGAGAATGAGATGGGTCCAGGGGATGCACGCGATCACCCTAAGGAGCTGCCAGCCTCTACGACCAGGAGGCGCAGGCATGCCGTTCGCACGCGATTCTTCTTCAGGAGGACATTGCCACACCTTCTCTCTCTCTCTTCTCCGAAGTAGCTCAAGTCACCAACCCTTAAACCAACACTCTCCCAGCTTTCTGGTCCCAGTCACCTCCAGTCACAGATCTTTTTCCCCCAGGTCCTGCCCGCCGGAAGTGACGAAACGGAAATGTCCCTCCTCCCAGTCGCGTGGGGTCGGAAGATGGCGGCGCCCAGTAGCCGGTGAGGAGAGAGTACACCGGGATTCCAGGAGCGGTCAGATGCGTGCATTATGGCCACATCCTCGCACACTCTCTCCTCACGCCTCCTGACAGGTATTGAAGCCGTTCCGGGTACGACCTCGGGGCAATCTTCTTCTTTTTGCCACGTTTGAGGCTGTGGTTCCGGCTGGCTGCAACCTTGGGAGCCCTTGGGGAGGTCGGCTGGGCACGGGTTGGAAGCAAGTACCCTTTCGAGTAGCCCGGGGTGAAGAGGTCACTTAGCTAGGGCTCTGTTTAGCGCTGTGACCCTTGTGGTCCACACCTTCTGCTCCGCCTCCCACCCCCGGGAAGCGGCAATGCTTGGGGCTCCTTTAGATTTTCAGGTAGTGAAGGCGGAGGAGAGAGAGCAGGAGTTCTAGCTAGGGCTTCGCAAACCTCTTGGCTTGTCAGAGCCTCAGTTTTTAGGCCCTAACTTGTAATGAAAAGGGAAATGGTTTGTTCCCACTCAGAAGCCTTGTTCCCACATAAAGGGTCATGGTGATAAGGATGATAATGATGATGACTGCAGACAGCGGGCCCTAGTCCCCTCGGATTTTTGGCTTTGTAGTGTGGTCCCTTATATAACCCTCCCGCTTGAGGGGTCCTGTGACAAATATATGTTGAAGCTGGAATGTTCTTTGACTCCTGGTTCTTTGCAAAGCTGAGTTCTCATCTGTCAGATCTTAGCTCACATGTCACCTTTTCAGAGAGGCCTACTCTGACCACCCTATGTAAGGCCCCCTTCCTTCTCATGTAGCTCTGTTTCTTTCATCATGATTAGCATAGTCTAATTGTTTATTTCTATACCTGTTTATTATCTGGTCCCAACTAGAGTATAAACTTTGTGAAGGCAGGACAATATTTATCTTGTTCACCTCTGTATCCCCAGTTCCTAGAACAGTACCTGGTACATTCTTGGCTCTCAATAACTATTTGTGAATGATTGAAATTTGTCCTGATGAAATGGGAAAAAATTAAAGAGGAGGTTGGGAATTGTTTGCCTCCAGTGTTTTAGAATGATAACTAATGGCAGTATGAGGAATGTGTTGCCAGTGGTCCAGGTTGGAGACCAGATTGGAGAAGCCAAGGACTCCCTGTTGCTAAAATTCCAGAAGCTTTTTTCAGGCTTCACCTATCACAAGCTCTCTGTAGCATCTGGCAGTGCTCATCACCATGAGTCTATGAAATTCCTCCCTTCTTTCCCATAATATTCCTATTGGGTCTTTTCTGGTTCATGTGATCTCAGGGCAAATCTTTTGACTTTTCTGGAACTGAGTTTACTCATATATAAAATGATGCGATTGAGCTTGATAATCTCAAAGGTGTCTTCTAGTTCAGAAAGTGTGGAGGAGGGCGAGGAGTGGGCAAGAGTATAGATGAAGCAAGATTGACCATGGGTTGGTAATTGTTGAAGCTAGGAGATAAGTAATGGTGGCTCACTCTCTACTCTTCTACTTTTGTATATGTTTGAAATTTTCCATAGAATAAAGTTTTTTTAAAAAGGTCTGTGATTCTTTTTGAATCACCTCTTTGTTACTTCTCCCCTCCTTGACTGTGAGTGTTCGCTGATCCTGATCCTGGGCACTCATTCTCAGAGAGCTAATCCTTTCTTCTTGAATTAGCACTTAATGTGTGGAGGTCTCTCCGGTGTGCACCTCTCAGAACATCTTCTCTTCTACCTTTCAGTTCTGTATTTTCAGCTGCCTATAGGACTGGTTGGCGCCCTGGTGGCAAAGTGGCTAAGAGCTTGGCTGCTAACCAAAAGGTCAGCAGTTTGGATCCACCAGCTGCTCCTTGGAAACCCTATGGGGCAGTTCTACTCTGTGCTATAGGGTCGCTGTGAGTCAGAATTGACTTGATGGCAGCAGGTTTGGTTTTGGGGTTTATAGGACTGCTCTAAATTTCCTAGTTCTAGTAGGTGGGCTGCATATGGCCCAGATGATTAGTTGCTGGATCAGTTTCTGTGATGGTGGTATAGAAGGAATTAATAGGCACTCATCTTCCTAAAACTGTAAACAACATAATAGCAAAAAAAAAAAAAAAAATCTGATAGTAAATGGTCTATATGACTTACTTGGAAGCTCCACACAAGACTTGATGGGGAAACAACATGATGGGAGGGAGGTAGACTGAGATTATATTGAATATCTAGTAGTCATGTGTGATTTTGCTTCTAAAAGTTCAAAGTATTTAATAGGCATTAAAGAAAAATCAGAGCCTTTCACTTACTTGTCTGCTCACCTGATTTTAAAAGTCTTGCAGTCATGATCCACTGTTGATGGTGAATAGTAGATATGATCCTGTGTTCCCAGAGTTGTTGTACCTGGGTGGTGCAAACAGTTACAACGCTTGGCTGCTAATCAAAAGGTTGGTGGTTCAAGTCCTCCCACAGGTGCCTCAGAAGAAAGGCCTGGCAATCTGCTTCTGAAAAATCAGCTGTTGAGAACCTTATGGAGCACAGTGCTATTCTGACCCACATGTGGTCACCATGAGTCAGAGTTGACTCAGTGACAAATGATTTTTTTATTGTAAGCCCTGTGTAGCTACAAGTCTACATTTGTTTACATAATGTTGAAATGTCTTTCAGTTTTTAGACTCTTGATTTATAGAAATGTGACATGTTTTGACTAAATGAAGTGTTTTTGTCATTTCTAAATGTAGTTTCCTAGCTGTGTTTTCTTCTCCCTACCATTTTGTAAAATCTCAGTTTCACCCACTTAATCTTTCCCTCCCAGCCACATGCATTTCCCATTGGAACCAGATAAACTCAAAACTGGTTTTGAAAGAAAGGCTCAGAACAATAAAACTTTGATAGTTTCTATGTAACCTTTTAATATTGAAATCCTAATATCTCAACAATATTAAGATAAAGAAGAAAAAATACAAACCATCTCTCACACACACAACCTTGAATATCAGAGGACACTTGTGGCCATTTAGGATGATATACATTTCTAAAATTTCAAAGGGAATTTAAAAAGAAAAAAAAACTGCTTTACATATGATTGTAAAGAGAAAACTTATTTGCATATGTGAAAAGTAAACCTTTCAGAATTAACTGAGATTTGAAATACAATTTCAGTGAAGAAGTGTTTATCTCCAGTTTAAGATAATTATCATGTATTTCAAGGGGTGGTGATCATTTTTTCCCCACAGTCCAAGTAAACTTTCCCCAGTCTAATGTCAGTCAACAAGCATTGTTTCTTTATTATATGAAAAGTATTCTGCTACCTGTTGTAGCAAAGGTGAATAGAAGAAAGTTCCTGTTATCAGGAACTAAAAAATATGGCAGTGGAAACAATTTGCATTGAGAAGTACCAGAAAAATGGCACAGTGTGATATAGAGTATTTGAAAGAGCCTTTGGAAATTAGACAGAGAGTAGGGGCGAGACATTGCCAGCAAGGAAACAACATGAGTAAAAGTCAACAAAAGTATGTAATTGTATGGTGTGCTTAGTGGAGTGTGATGAGATATCACTGTGGTGAGTTTTGTGTACGAAAGGATTGGCTTTATGGAACTAGGTTTGAGAGGAAAGGATGTTAGTGAAGACAGAATGACTGGCTTGAATAATGCTATTACCATAGTCCAACTGTAAGATGATAAGGGTCTGTATCAGTAGGAATGGAAAGAAGTGGACAGATTAGACCAAGATTTTGAAGTTGACGAGACTTCGTGGTTTGTTAGGTGATGCAGAAGGAAGAGTTAAAGATGTTCCTAAACTCTTAAATAGGTAATAGTTTCATCTGTAGTAGGGAACTGAGATAAGAGTGAAAAGTATACTTAAAAACATATTGCAGCAGCATTATTCACAGTAGCCAGAAGATTGCAAACTACCCCAGTGTCCATAAGCAGAGGAATGAATAAATAAAATGTGTTATATCAATACAATGGAATATTACTCAGCCAAAAAGAGAAATGAAGACCTGATACATGCTATGACATGAATGGACCTTGAAAACATGCTGAGTGAAATAAGTCAGTCACAAAAGGACAAATATTGTATGATCCCATTTACATGAAATGTCTAGAATAGGCAAATGCATAGAGACCAGAGTTCATTAGTGGTTATCGGGGACGGGAGCCGGGGGAGGAGGGGAGTCATTGCTTAGGGGACACGGAGTTTCTATTACGGGTGATGGAAGAATATGGAAATGGATAGTGATTATGGTTGTACAACATGATGGACATGATTAATGTCACAGAATTGTGCAAATAAAAATGTTGAAATGGCAAACGTTTGGTCATATATATTTTTACTACAATTAAAAAATTTAAAAAAAGGCATATTACAACTCATCCATGTGATATGAAGAATGCAGTTGGAAATAGGTACATGATGCTCTAGAAATGGGTTGAAAATTAGAAATTACCCTATAATTGCATTTGCGGTATGTAGTGTTCAAAACAGTGGGGATACAACTGCCTTAAAGTGGTGGAGAGCAAGGGAGATAGAATAGGAAACTGACAAGTGATGGTACTGGAGGCAGAGGAACCGGGAAGCGTTAGTGTCACGGAAGCCATGGGAGGAGAGACATTTAAAAGAAAGGGAATCTGTAGTGTCATACTGTCGAGGGGTTGAATTGGAACAAGGCTTGAGATGGGAGCATTGGATTTATTGATATTTGAGAGAAGGTTTAGTAGAATGAATAAAAGCCAAATCTGAATATAATAAAACTAGCTTCCTCCTAACTAGATTGATAGAGTCATACTTTATTGAGAATTATTTCCTCTCCCTTTTAATTGTCTTTCACTACATGGCCAAAATATTAAGTTGAAATGTATCTTTCAATTTACTGCTTTTTATCGAGAAAAATTGTGCTTTTCATTTTTAATTCTTTTAAGTGACTGAACTGATTCTACTTTTTCTTTTTAAAAAGACCTCTATTACAGTGTGATCATTTCGGCATTCAATATAATAAAGGCGTAATGGTCCTGAAACGAAAATTTTCCCTATCTCTGTTGAAGAATTAAATTGACTGAAACAATATGTGGGCTGATAAATTGCATTTATTCACAAATCTCATCTAGATCATTTCAAAGTTCTGATCAGTCACACAGGGCAATGCTTAATGTGATGCTGGCTTTGCTTCTTGGTAGGGGCGGTCATCATTTGGTGAGAAAGAGTAATCATTTTAACATTTTTATCCCTTTTCTCTGTTTTGTAGGTTGGGTAGGAGGATGTGTCTGGTATCTGGAAAGAAGAGCTGGGCAGGAATCCCCTCAGAAGTTTATGCGCCTTTTCAGGACTGTCAATAAGCAGTGGATTACATTTCAGCACTTTAACTTCCTCAAGCGCATGGTATATTTAGAAGACCACCCTTATTCTGCCTGTCTCTGTCTGCCTTTACTTTCTCTCGTGTGAGGGAATTTCAGAAATTGCGATTGCAAGAAAAGTTTTAAGAAGGACTCTTTGAAAAGGACTTTTATTTAGTGTCCTCTTAAGTTTACGGAGCCCTGGCGGTGCAGTGGTTAAGAGCTCGGCTGCTTACCACAAGGTCAGCAGTTCGAATCCACCAAGTGTTCCTTGGAAACCATATGGGGCAGCTCTACTCTGTCCTATAGGGTTGCTATGAGTTGGAATTGACTCGACAGCAATGGGTTTGGTTTGTTTGTTTTTTTTACGTTTATCCAAGACTTTCATCTCTTATTTTAATTATTATTAACTGAAATCAAAATAATTCTGGCATTTGAGGTTCAAAGCATGGTCCTGAACGTATTGATTAGGTTTGGAGAAAGATTGAAAACTTCCGGCATATTCTAGCTAGGCTAAAGTTGGGAAAAGCTGAACTATTAGGCTACAACTTTGTCAATTATTTCAAGTTCTGTGAGTACATCAGTAATACAGAAGTCATAGCTTTGACAGTGTGGCCCTATGATATTCTTACATCAGCAATATATTTAAAAAGTTTTTTAATATATGTACTTTTGAGTAGGCACAAAGACATTTAGTTTTTGTAATTTGCTAGGCATTTTACAGTGGGCATTGGTAATGCATCTCAGTACTCGTGTGGGCCCTTATCTAGGTTGATTCCATGACACCGTGAGGACCAGTGAGGACACTTCCCACCTTCTCAAAGAACAGGGATCATACACTGGAGAATAATAGCTAAAAACTCATAACATGAAAGAAAAGTAAATTCATAATTGCAAGTCCTATTTAACTTTTCTCTCATTTCTTTCTTTTTAATTTAAAATGTCCTATCTTAAGTCATTTTTTGATAAGAGTTTTAAATTTCCAGATATGTTCAGTCTTTTTAAGTTGGGGGCCAAACGCAAATATGTGTATTACTTTTTTCATGTAAACAAGACTCTGAATTTATTTTTTATTTATTTATGACTGTGTAGTTATTATCTAAGACTAGTATATACTATTTCAAGCCTTTGTGATGTATAAAAAAGTCACTTAACTAGTTATCAGGACAGGCAGGTCCTAGTCCCAGGCCACCCATAACTGGTTGTTGATCATGTCAGTTAATTTCTGGGCCTTGGTTTCCTCAGTTAGAGAGATACTAATAATGATACATCTTCTTTAACAACTGGTGAGAAGATTAAATGAGATATGTATTGTATAAATTATAAAGTGCTTTTTAAAACTGAATGAAGTACCTCCCTACTAATGTTAGTAGTAGTTACTCAGTTTTGCCAGTAAGTGGTAGACACTGTCTGACTCTAACACCTGCCTTCTTCTACATACCCCACTGCTGTGAAGTCAGTGGGCTCTGGATTATAGAAAACGTTTTCATTGTGTTTGGAGTATTACACCTTCAGTTTATGGTGTAGTGTTGGGGGAATTCTTTCAAGGAACTTAAATTCTTAAGATTTTTTAAAACAGAATTCAAAAACCACTGCTGAGGCATTAAGTGCATATCTATAGAGATTTTGGTATAATGAGCACTCCATACATAGTGCTGAATTAACTAACGTTAAAGTTATAGGAAAATCTTTCAAGTCCCATAAAAACTGAACTGATAGGAGGGGTTAGTAAACAAAACCATTTAAGAGCATTTGGGCCATGGTTTTAGATTAACATATACTTTCTTATTTAGTATGTCACACAACTGCACAGAAGCCTCAGCCAGCAAGTAAAACCTAAGCCAGAACCAACGGCATCTTCTGTCCTTGAAAAAACATCTTCAGGTCAAGCCAAAGCAGAAATATATGAGATGAGATCTCTTTCACCGCCCAGCCTATCTTCATCCAGAAAGCCAAATGAAAAGGAGTTGATAGAATTAGACTCTGCCTCAATAATTGAAGGTTCGGTAGAAGTGGGAAAAGAGACACAAGATGAAAAACAATGGAAAGAGATGAAGCTGCATCTGGATGATTTGCCAGGAATTTTGGCTCGACTATCCAAAATCAAACTCACAGGTACTTTCCTTCTAGTATAGGTAGATGATTATTTGAAACTTTATTTTTAGTTAAATCAAAAGCTATTTTTACTTACTGATCCAAAAGCGGTATTTTGAAACTGCAGACCCTCTTGGTATTTTTCCTCTCATAGATTTAGATTTGAAATAAAGGTTTATAAATTCTATTTATACAGAATGTAAATATTATTACACTATAACTAAAGTCTTGTTTTATTTGTAATTAAAGTAGAATGTTAATCCTGCTTATTTCTTTGTCTTTTGTATTTTTAGACCTACTATAGTTTAAAGATGGCAATAAGATACTGAGTTCTCTATGTCTGAGTTCTGAAAACTGGATGGACTACACTGCTGTGCTTGGTGTGCCAGTGAGCCAGCAGTGACCACTGGTACTCCCAGTTCACTCTTCTTGCTTCTTATAGGGCTCCTGGGTGGTATTTGGGAATATTTAGAGTGCTTCCCTGAAAGGAGGTTTGGAACCAGATTTTTTTGCCTAATTCTAGCAAACTACACCAAATTCTATTGTGTGCTACTATGTCATTTGTTTGTCACAATCACCCAATGAGTCAGACAACGTATTATTACTATCCCATCTTATAGCTAAACTTAGAAATAGCTTATTCTGGGCTAACACTGTCTAGAAGGTGTATTCTGGGCCATTCTGCAAACCGAGGAAGACTTGGCCTCTCCTTTCCTTCTGGGATGACAATAAGGAGAAGGAACGTAATGGGTGAATGATAAAGTTAAACCAGGTACTCTTTGAGAAAGGAAAGTGGTGAATAATAGTACTGAGTCAGACTGAGGAAATGAAGAGATGAGGCAGAGAGACTTTTGAGAGTAGAGAAAGATAGGAGAAAGAGTGGTTTTGTTTGTTTGTTTTTAAAGAGAGTTGAACCTGAAATCCAGAGTAAAAAGAGGTAAACCAGGCTATTTCTTTTCTCGTTGACCAAGCTCACTTAAAGAAAACCTTTTTCTGGGAATGATGCATAGACTTAGGGAATTTGACAAGAGAGCTGAAGAATCTCAGTAAGACATATATAGTGTAATTCTAAAACAGTGAGACTAATTCCAGGTGGAATATTTAAAAACTAGTCTTCAGTGTTTATGATAGTTGAAAAGGAATCATCACATTTCTGTTATCTTTTCTCATACACAAGTGGTGTGATTGTCGTGGTGTTGATATATTAAGAATGGCTATAGATAAGATAAAATAAAAAGCTCTGGTGGTGCAGTGGTTAAGCACTCAGCTGCTAACTGAAAGATCACAGTTCAAACCTACCAGCTGCTCCACAGGAGAAAGATGTGGCAGTCTGCTTCTGTAAAGATCTACAGCGTTGGAAACCCTATGGGGCAGCTCTACGCTGTCTTGTAGGGTTGCTATGAATTGGAATTGAGTTGATGGCAATGGGTTTGGTTTTAGTTTGGTATAGATAAGATAGAATCCCTGGGTGAAGCAAACAGTTAATGCACTCACTGTTAACTGAAAGGTTGGAAGTTCAAGTCCACCCAGAGGCATCTTGGAAGAAAGACCTGGTAGTCTCCTTGTGAAGAATCAGTCATTGAAAACCCTATGGAGGACAGTTCTACTCTGACAACATGGGATCGCTATAGTCAGAATTGACTATATGGCAACTGTTTTTTTGTTTTTGTTTTTCACAGATAAGATATGGTCATACAATTGTCACCCCAAAAATGAGACCTGTCACTCTGTAGTCATAAGAAGTGACCTATTTCAATAGCAGGAGCCTGTTTTTTGTGTGTGCACCCATCATTCAACATGTCCACGTTAGTATCCCTACTTTATTCTTCAGATTAATTTTACTTTCTTAATCATCCCATTTCTGTCAGTTAAACCAGCATTCTTCTAGTCCCCCAGTTGAGAAACCTTAGGATCATTCTTCTGTGTGTCTGTGTGTGTGTCTGTGTGTGTGTGTGTGTGTGTGTGTGTGTGTGTGTGTGTGTACGTACGTACAACCATCACCACTATTTATTTTCAGAGCTTTTCATCTACCTAAACAGAAATTCTGTACCAATTGAACAATAATTACCCATCTCCTCCTCCCCACACTACTGGTACTTATTAATCTACTTTTGTTTCTATACATTTACCTATTCTAGATATTTCATATAAGTGGGATCATACAATATTAGTCCTCTCGTATATATGACTTATTTCCCGTAACATAATGTTTCCAAGATTCCTCTATGTTGTAGCGTGTATTAGAACTTCATTCCTCTTTATGGTTGAATAGTAGTCCATTGTATGAATATACCACGTTTTGTTTATCCTGTCATCTGCTGATGGACATTTAGGTTGTTTCTACCATCTGGCTATTGTGAATCGTGCTGCATTGAACACTGGTGTGCAAGTATCTGTTTGAGTCCCTGTTTTCAAGTTTTTTGGGTATATACCTAGGAGTGCAATTGCTGGGTCATTTTGTCGTTCTGTGGTATCTTGCATGTTGCTGTGATGCAGGAACCTTTGCCACCAGTATTTAAAATGCCAGCAGGGTCACCCATGGTGGACAGGTTTCAGTGGAGCTTCCAGACTGAGACAGACTAGGAAGAAGGATGTGGTGGTATCCTTTTGAAAAAACTGGCCAGTGAAAATCTTATGAATAGCAGTGGAACATTGTCTATGTAGTGCCAGAAGATGAGCCCCTCAGGTTGGAAGGCACTCAAAATATGACTGGGGAGGAGCTGCCTCCTCAAAATAGAGTTGACCTTAATGACCTGGATGGAATAAAGCTTTCGGTACCTTCATTTGCGTGACACAGAATAGGAAGAAACAGCTCCAAGCATCCATAAATAATCGGAGGGTGGAATGTATGAAGTGTGAATCTAGGAAAATTGGAAGTCTTTAAACATGAAATGGAATGCATAAAGATCAATATCCTAGGCATTAGTGAGCTGAAATGGACTGGTATTGGCCATTTTGAAATCAGACAGTCATATGCTCTACTATGCAGGGAATGACAACTTGAAGAGGAATGACATCACAATCATTGTCAAAAAGAACATTTCAAGATCTATCCTGAAGTACAACACTGTCAGTGATAGGATAATATCCATATGCCTGCAAGGAAGACCAGTTAATACGACTATTATTCAAATTTACACACCAACTACTAATGCCAAAAACGAGGAAATTGAAGATTTTTACCCACTTCTGCAGTCTGAAATTGATTAAACATGCAGTCAAGATGCATTGATATTTACTGGTGATTGCAGTGCAAAAGTTGGAAACAAAGTAGAGGGATCAGTAGTTGGAAAATATGACTTTGGTAATAGAAAAGACACTGGAGATCACATAATAGAATTTTGCAAGACCAGTGACTTGTTTATTGCAAATATCTTTCTTCAACAACATAAACAGTGACTATACACATGGACCTCACCAGATGGAAAACACAAGAATCAAATCGACTACATAGAGACTACATCTGCAGAAGCTCAATATCATCAGTCACAACAAGGCCAGGCACTGACTACGAAACAGACCATCAGTTGCTCATAGGCAAGCTGAAGTTGAAGAAAATCAAAACAGGTCCAGGAGAAACAAAATACGACCTTCAGTATATCCCAACTGAATTTAGAGACCATCTCAAGAAGAGATTTGACGCATTGAATGCTAATGACCGAAGACCAGAAGAATTGTGGGATGACATCAGGTTCATCATACATGGAAAAAGCAAAAGGTCATTAAAAAGATGGGAAAGAAAGAAAAGACCAAAATGGATGTCAGAAGAGACTCTGAAACTTGCTCTTAAATGTAGAGTAGCTAAAGCGAACAGAAGAAATAGTGAATTCAAAGAGCTGTACAAAATTTTCAAAGAGTGACTCTAGAAGAAAAAGTATTGTAATGAAATATGCAAAGACCTGGAGTTAGAAAACCGAAAGGGAAGAACACTCTTGGTATTTCTCAAGCTGAAAGAACTGAAGAAAAAATTCAAGGCTCGAGTTGCAATACTGAAGAATTCTATGGGCAAAATATTGAATGACCCAGGAAGTATCATAAGAAGATAGAAGGAATACCCAGAGTCATTGTACCAAAAAGGATCGGTAGACGTTCAGCCATTTCAGGAGGCAGCATATAATCAAGAACTGATGGTACTGAAGGGAGTAGTCCAAGCTGCACTGAAGGCATGGCTCCAGGAATCGATGGAATACCAACTGAGATGTTTTAACAAACAGATGTAGCACTGGAGGTGCTCACTCGTCTATGCAAAGAAATTTGAAAAGAGCTACCTGGCCAACCAACTGGAAGAGATCTATATTTGTGCCCATTCCAAAGAAAGATGATCAAACAATGCGGAAATTATTGAACAATGTCATTAATATCACACAAAAGTAATAATTTGCTGAAGATAATTCATAAACATTTGCAGCAGTACATTGACAGGGAACTGACAGAAATTCAAGCCAGATTCAGGAGAGGACATGGAAGGAGGGACCTCATTGTTAATGTTAGATGGATCTTGGCTGAAAGCAGAGAATACCAGAAAGATGTTTACCTGTGTTTTATTGACTATGCAGAGGCATTCGACTGTGTGGGTCATAGCCGATTATGGATAACATTGTGAAGAGTGGGAATTCTGGAACACTTAATTGTGCTCATACTGAATGAGTACATAGAACAAGAGACAGTTGTTCGAACAGAACAAGGGGATACTGCGTGGTTTAAAATCAGGAAAAATGTGCATCAGGGTTGTATGCTTTCACCATACTTATTCAAGCTGTATGCTGAGCAAATAGTCTGAGAAGCTGGACTATAGGAAGAAGAACATGGCATCAGAATTGGTGGAAAACTCACTAACAACCTGTAATACGCAGATGACACAACCTTGCTTGCTGAAAGTGAAGAGTACTTGAAGCACTTACTGATAAAGAGCAAAGACTGCAGGCCTTCAGTATGGATTACACCTCAACATAAAGCAAATAAAAATCTTCACAACTGGACCAGTAAGACAAATCATGATAAATGGAGAAAAGATTGAAGTT